AACCCCCTTAATTACGTGGAATACATTTATAACTCCAGTTCATATTTGTATCCAATTTCATATGTACAAACACATAGCGGGATTTTGGCCCTGGGGGTCCACAGTTGACACAAAACCGCTCCAATGTACCAGAGGGTGAGGGATTACGGTTGACGAAGTATATAGACATCGTTTCAGTGCACCTGGTATCGACCGGGTACCTGCAAGCTGCAGGCTGCAGAGGCCTGCCGATGGCCCTGGGGCAACAAGAGAGAGATGCACGCAACGTGGACCACTCAACCCACCCTTTTTTCCTCCGATAACGAGAAATTTCAACGATTTCTCAGCGATAGCTGCAGATTATCAGACATGACTTTTGCATCAGTAGATTCTACAAACAGATATATTTTTTCCTGTACTTTTCCATTGCGATGGAGCGAATGTTTCGAGTAATGAAAATGGCTCTAGAATGGTTTGATACGTTCGAAAGACTTCGCTGATTTTCACCAAAGGGCATTCACGAATGCAGAAAAAAATGGCTTCTTTAAATGTGGGGAAAGTGTTTTTGAAGGGAATAAATGAATATTGTTACGTTCTCCGGGATCTGACGGCATTCCCCCATATAAAATATTAAAAAATATATAATATGGGCCAATTAGATATATTTTTCAAAGAATATATAAAAATATATATTTAAACATGTTTCATGTATTTTTCAATATAAATTGGGCCAATTTAAAATATTTTTTTATATATTTTGTCAAAATTTAAATTTATCCGTGTGGATTTGCAAATTGTGAAGTTATCAAACGGGAGGGATTATTAGAAAAATGAGAAGAATGTTTTGAAATTCGTGGATATCAGTTTAATTTAGATTTTAAATTGAATCGTGCGCGGAATTGATTGTTCATTCTGAAAATTCAATAAAATGAAGTGTTTTCGTGACAAGTGATCGTTGAGAGTTCAATGACAGCTTGAAAATTGAGCATTACATTCAATTCAATTTTCAAAGAGTCGAAACAACAACTGAAATTCAAAATTTTTTGCTAGACGGAAGATGAGAATTTGCCAGGTTACTTGAATTTTCAATTAATTAAAAATACATGAATATATTCACGTAAATTTTCCTGATGATTTCTATCTATTTCCATGAAATAATTGCACTCAAATTTACGATTTTTATTTATTTTTTAATAAAATTTTGAATTTTTAATAATGAAATTGTTCGGAATTTAAATGGAATTATGGAACTTCGTGGGGTTCGTTTTTAAAAATTTCAAGTGTATGACCCATAGTTGATCTCCCTGATGGAGTCTTGATGGATTTTATGCCATTAGTGAGTTTCCCGCACACACGCCCAAATGCACGAGAAAGTTACAATACCCCGGAGCCATTGCAATACTGAAATATTCATTACGACGGCAGTCGCGCTGACGAGGCCACTGGGTCATGCGGAGGCTGGTGATTCGTTACGCTAGTAACAATGGCAACTTTCTGCGGCTAGTTACCTCTCTCGCATTTCGAGTCACGCATGACAGAAATATGAATTTGACGGACGTCAAAGAGAGATTTGACCTGTGTTATTCCGTTAATTCAGAGCTTCCGGAAACTGCAGCAGTAATTAAAGTTGTATAAACACGGGTCGAATTTCCAAGAAGTGTATTGGAGATTTCAGCCAGAAATACAGGGAGAAAAATTTTCTAGAAAATTCATACGCTGAGAAAAAAAAATAGTTTAGTCAAGGAATCATTTTCTTCAGAAAAAAAATCATTTTTTTAGGAAAGTAATTACAATTATGTTCAATTATGAGATGATTATAATGCGGCCTTCCATGAACACCCTTAATTGCTTGTCAATTTTTTTTCAAATTTGAAATTTTCTTACGTAATATAATTTCAAATAATTCTAAATGTTCATAATTGTTGAGGGATTTCATTCAATTTACACGAATTTTGAAATCCAAATGAATATTCACTGCCAAATTCCCTTGAATTTTCAGGGAATCTCTAAAAAATCCTCGGAATTCCAGAAATTAAGGAAGAAATTCCATGAAAATTCAGAGGAATCTGGAATTCAAGAAGATATTTCTCTCAATTTTCCTGTTCCCACGGATTTTTCCATGAAATTCCATGCCACATGTTACAATACACAGTGCAATGTATTTTAAAAGAATATGTGAAATTGAAGGGTCTTCGGATGAATGTAATTTTGACAGGTTGACGCCCTGAAATTATTGAAGAAATTATTGAAAGAAATTCCAGAAATTATTGAAGGAATTCCATGAAAATTCAGAGGAATCTGGAATTCAAGGAGATATTTCTCTCAATTTTCCTGTTCCCACGGATTTTTCCATGAAATTCCATGCCACATGTTACGATAAACAGTGCAATGTATTTTAAAAGAATATATGAAATTGAAGGGTCTTCGGATGAATGTAATTTTGACAGGTTGACGCCCTGAGAAGCGCTAGATTCTTTACGAGCAATATCGTCGTTAAATTGATACACATAATCTTCCCTTATATTGGACGATGAAATGAACCATAAATAGCCACGCCATGGACATTTATTTCCTCCAGTAAACATTCTTCAGCTGATGAAAAATCCAGACTGGCTGGGCATAAAAAAATGTCAGAACACGGAAGAGAGACTCTCCGGCACCTTTTTTTTTCTCCCACAGCATCAATTCCCGATATATTGCATCGTAATTTCAGTAGAATGGACGATCCACTGGAGACCGTACGTACCCCCGAACCCAATCCGTTCTGAATCCACTCAGAAAAAGTTTGTGACGGGAATATTGAATACCGTTTTTATTTGCCGTCATGTCGCTTCAACTCTGGCCGTCACTCGGTGGACAGTGGACTGTGCTAACATGTTTTACCTGACGCATTTTTACCCATTCGTCACTCACCTGTATCACGTCCACTCTTGCGACCGTGATACAGAAGGTTTATAAATGCGGGACAATATCGTTTTTTCAACGGTGTGGAACATCAATTGGGAAAGGAAAATTTATTCTCCAACGAGAGTTTTTATTTCCTGAAGTAAGGGTTCTTGGGAAATGTTATAAAATTTCATTTGGTTCTGTTGAATTTTAAGGATGGAATGCGGGAGAAAAAAATTAATAGGTAACTCTTGAGGATAATGAGGAATTGATAAGAGAAAATGTTGAACAGTTTTTACTGAAATTTTTGGGGCGCTTTCTATATTTCATCACGAGAAATTCACGATTTGATGAAAAAATCTATGGAAATTGTAAATTTATGATAATTCAACGTAATTCAGTCATAAATATTCATGTCTTTATTAAAAATCCAAGCAAACTGTAGAATTTTGAATACACTTTGAAATCAGGAATATTCTGATGAATATGTTTCTTAAATTTCCAATGAATTACAAATTCATCATAATTCGGTACCAAATATTAATGTTACGATTGAAAATTCAAACAAGTTGAGGAATTCCCTCAAAAATCTTTCAATAAATCATCTTTCTGCTGTTAAAAAATTTGGAATTCATCAAGTCTCCAGTAAAACCTGAAATTCCGTGATTTTCTTTCCTCGTAAGAAAAATTTAACATCGCTCTCCTGAACTGTTCTTGAAATTTCACATTTTCATTTCTAATTGTATACGACATTTATCTGATTATGTATCTCTGTGATATTCCAAGGAATATCCATCACACCCCGGCTTCCCCGAATTTTTGCCCAAAAATATCGGATAAATGCAATGCAACAGTGCAGACAGTCCCCTCCATGCAAGTGCAACCAGCAGTGTATATATTCAAACAGCGTGAGTGCTAATCTCAAATACACCCACTCGCAACACCTTCCCGAGACGATTTCCTGAATAAAGCCACAGGAGGTCTCAAAGGTGGCACTCAGCATGCACTCAATCAAGGGAAACAGCAATTTCCTTAACGCTATACAATTTTTCCCCCGCGTTATAATTCCCTTATTACTGTTACCGCCGCTGTAATATCAACCCAGTGATGATTGGCTTGTCGACAGGTTGGCATGGAGCGTCGAGATCTGATCTTGACAGCAGTATTCGGTACATTCGGCGCCCTCGGCGTCTTACTCGGCCTCGGTCTGGCTGCTTGGCTTTATCTTCGGGCCAGAAGGTCCAAGGGGCGTGACGGCGATCTAGAAGATCAAATGGATAACGGCGAGGGTACTAGCTGCAGTCAGCCCCAGCAAACCAAGAAAAATGGATTTCTCAATCTCAAAACCCCATTGATCAGCACCAAGGCGCTTGGGTAAGTGAAAATATCAGCTATTTCATCACACGGAGAGAAATATTCAGTAAAAATTACGGAGCAATTCACGTAATCCGCAATGGGGTATCGTTTTCCGGAAATTTTTACAGGAATGGAGGAGAAGAAATCTGAAACGTTCAGTGAATTTTCAGGTTCATCCCCGAACAAAGTACGAAATTGTCACGTAATTTTTCCCGAAGAAGTAAAATCTTACAGAAACTTGCCGACTTATTATGCCACCAAAATCGAAAATTCTTGAACGTTCAACAATTTTTATGAAGCTGGTGAGTTATTTCTACGTTCCGTTCCGTAAAATTTCTCAATCGTTTGGGAAAATTACGGAACGACTTGTTGTCCTCACAGCGGTGACTCATCAGGCGGGTGGTTAATTTTTACGGAACAAATCGTAGAATTTATGTGGCGATTCGTGGAATTTCACTTCTGACTCACACTTTTTATTGAATTTTACTTCGCTCGCGGATTGGCCTTCGAAACGTAATCTTTACGTTTTTTTCTGGTAATTGTTATTGAATGTTCCTCTCCCTGCATTTTTTTTTCCTTCAATTTCTATTTATACACTGGCATTCTCGACAACAGAGTTAAGGCCTTCGTAAAAACTCGAGGAATCCTCTTCTACCCTTAGTGTCTCCATTGTACCGTGAATTTCTTTTCCACGTGATGGAGTAGCAAAGACGTTCGTATTCAAAGGCAACTTTGTCATCCAGTGTTCAAATTGAAATTGAGACTTATTTGTCGAGGGAAAATTGCCAACAGCTGTTTTTCCATGCGTTCGGTGTTAGTCGATGTTTTTGGTGGTCATTGTTCGGTGTACGTAGTCTGTTGTCGATGAATGGATGTAATTAACTGTACCCTGGCCCCAGCACGTGAATATATCGACTGCGCTGGTTATCGGACTGGGGTAAGTGAGGGTAAAAGCCGGAGCTTTCACATCTCTCGGACATGCAGAATTAAGCTCTGGAACTATTTTATCGACTGACGATATTCCGAAAACTAGTTTACTAGCTATAAAAGCTTAAGCACGTGGATCCGAGCTTTTTGAGGATACTCTTCACCGAATAGTTTACCGACTGCAGATAAACGAGCTTTTGCGTCTGACCGACCGTTCAAATATCTACTTTGCCCCCACGCGTATGGACTTTCACTACTTGAACATATGTTTCAATGATACAGCTCACCCGACTTGCAATTATTGCAACAGATGCTTATGAAAAATTACTATTGACCCCTGCGCTTATTGAATTCCACAAGGGCATAACGTTCACGGTCGTAGGAGATAGAGAGGGATAAGGGGATAAAATTTTGGACTCGCGAAATTTGGGTAATGACTTCCAAAAACTTAAATCCATGTATCTGAGCTTTTTGAGGATACTCTCCACCGAATAGTTTACCGACTGCAGATAAACGAGCTTTTGCGTCCGACCAGTCGTGGAAATTTCTAGGTTGCCTCCACGCGTATTGACTTTCACTACTTGAACATATGTTTCAACGATACAGCTCACCCGACTTGCAATTATTGCAACAGATGCTTATGAAAAATTACTATTGACCCCTGCGCTTATTGAATTCCATAAGGTCACGTTCACGGTCGTGCGAAATAGAGAGGGATAAGGGGATAAAATTTTGGACTCGCGAAATTTGGGTAATGACTTCCAGAAACTTAAATCCATGTATCTGAGCTTTTTGAGGATACTCTTCACCGAATAGTTTACCGACTGCAGATAAAAGAGCTTTTGCGTCCGACCAGTCGTGGAAATTTCTAGGTTGCCTCCACGTGTATTGACTTTCACTACTTGCACATATGCAGCAGATGTTCCTGAAAAATTACTATCGACCCGTGCTTTCAATGATTCCCACAAGGTCATAACTTTCAGGGTCATGCGAGATACCGCGAAAAGAGGGAATCAAATTGTTCACTCATAAAATTGGCGTAATGTCTCCTTAAAAGCTCTAGTACTTGCATCCGCGCTTTCATAAAGAAAATCATTACCGACTGTAGACAAACGAGCTTTGGCATCTGATCGACCGTTGAAATATCTCCTTCGCCCCCACGCATATTGACTTTCACTACTTGAATATATGTTTCAACGATACGACTCACCCGACTTACAATTATTGCAACAGATGTTTCTGAAAAATTACTATCGACCCGTGCGTTTAATGAGTTCCATAAGGTCATAACTTTCAGGGTCACTCGAGACAGCGGGGGAAGAGGGGACAGAATTTTTCACTCGTGAAATTGGGGTAATCAATCCCCAAAGGCTTAAGCACATGCGTCCGGGTTTTTATGAGAAGAATGTTTTACCAGGAAATCTCGTAATTCTTATTACTGGCTTATTCTCTCTGATTTCACGTAGAATACATAATCTCTCTCCAATCTAGAGACATTTTTTGCTTCTGCAGGATTTCACGGAGGGAATGCAAGGGGAAAATATTTAATGAGTATTTTCTAAGAACACCAATAAAAAGAAAACTTTTCACGATAATGGAAAAGGCGAACGGAGAGGAAATTCTGGGGTTTTTAAATGAATTATGCACGTTATTTATATTTCCTCATATATTTCACTTTGTTCAGACATAGGGGAGGGTGGGGCAAAACGGCCCCCCTTCAATTGTCAATCACTTGTGAATGACATTGTGAAAATTCCCAGTTTCAACTTCATTTTGAAGATAATTTTTCATTCTTCAAAACGAGCTCTAACTCATCCCAATCGGATTATTGAATCGGAAAATATTGACGATTGAAGGGGGGCCGTTTTGCCCCATCCTCCCCTATATAGAGATGTCACATCTGTGTGACATATGCGTCATACTTCGACTGATTTTTATTCATAAATTCATTTCCATGACGGCATCTCCCCCTTACTTACCGCATAGCATGCTCGGGGTAGGGGCGATGAGCTTGATCAATTTCTTTTTCTCGCACAGTACCTGTCTACCACAGTTAATTGATTACCCCGGGTAATGATCCCCCGGGTCTTCCACGTTGTGAGTCAGTCTTCAATTTGTTCTCGGAGAAGACCTACGAACAGTGTTGATGACCCAATTGTGGTTATCACAGCGGAACGGAGCGATTATTGACAATTCAATGAACTGAAATTGGTTAAATTCTTTATTAATATTGCATGCTTATTATGGATGCCCCGGGTTATGCTTCGGTAATCGATACATGCAAATTATTGCGTCAACACAAGTATCCGGAATTATATAAATCGTGGGAGGTCTGGTGGGGGAAATTCGAAGTTTATGATTAATCTGCATTGTTGAGAGGCTTTGGCCAAAATTTCCGGTGCAACTATTGCATATTTTTATCGAGTCACACTTGTACTGACATTTCAACGCATTTCGTCAGTAAAAATTGTCAATTTTATGGAGAAACCTATGGAAACTGTAAATTTTGGTTTAATTAACCAATCAAAATTAATAAAAATCAAATAAATTCGGGGAAATACATTTTTCAATTTTAAATTCAGTGAAAATTCAACTGAGTTGGAAAATTGTCACCTTGTGAATTTATTTTAACAAATTGAATTTAATTGAATTTAAATTTTGAAAATTAATTATTTTTTCCCCTAAAATTCAGTTCAATTCGCGTTTCTGTGAACATGAATCTCCATTAATTGTTAAACTGTTTATTAATTTTCATAATAATGTTTTTTCCGTCAATGATAAAAATAAAATTTACAGTTTTAACATAAAGAATAAAATAGTCGATTTATCAACGACGAAACTCCCTGAAATTAAATTTCAAAAACCAAACGATGGAAATTTTCAACATTGAGGGGAAATTAGAGACCCCTGTTGTTCAAATGTATCCGCGCAGTTCTCGCAACAGACAATATCCAAGTGTTGATATATAGACCGGAAAACCGGTGAAATGTGAATACGTCTGGAGTACAATGGCGAACGGAACAAGGTAAAGTTTCAGAATACATCTGTGAGAGTTTCGTCTCAAGGATATAAAGTCTCTGCCACGTGCAGTGCATCATGACATCCATAAATCTGGGACTCTCATTTTTCACGAGAAAACAAAAAAGTAACAAAGGGAAGAAAAACCGCAGCAGTTAATTCGGGATTTTGCGAGTTGCGGTGCGACAATCCGTTGTGATAGGCTTCTCTTTATCCCATCGTACCATTCTTCTTTTTATTTAACGTTTTTCCTCACTCCATTCGGTCCACCGACACTCTGTCACTATCTGGGCGTAAATACGCGTGAAAATACGAGCCTCACTTCCGGTTAAATTGATCTCGAATGACCCTGAGGCTGCAGTGTTGGAAATTTTTTGAACTTTCATGGAAGATATGATAATAATTCTTATGAGAGTGACATTGAATCGGATTTGGGGGAAAAATGATCATGATATTTCAAGTTTTAGGTAGAATTCAACCAAATTCATGAAGTTTCAGTGGGAGTGAGATGGACATTTCACAACTTGATTGAATTTTCAATGGAATATGAATTTTCAAAAACAAAATGACGTGAAATATTCATTTCTCCTGAATTTTCCTGACCTTTATAAATTTTCACGGAATAATTAAACTGAAAAATCAAATATTTTATGATTTTCAAATCGTTCGAAGAGAAAATCAATGGAATATTTAATTTTTAAACGATAAGATTTCCTGAAATTTCAGTGTTAATTGAATACGATAAAAATAGTAATAGTAATTCTGATGAGAGCGACATGGAATGAGACTTAGGGGAAAAATGGTTATTAAATTTCAAGTTTTAGGTAGAATTCAAGCAAATTTATGAATTTTCAGTGCGAGTCAGATGGAAATTTGACGACTTGATTGAATTTTCAATGGAATATGAATTTTCAAAAACAAAATGACATGAAATATTCATTTCTCCTGAATTTTCCTGACCTTTATAAAATTTCACGGAATAATTGAACCGAAAAATCAAGTATTTGATTGATTTTCAAATCATTGGAGCATAAAATCAATAAAATATTTGATTTCTCAATGACAAGATTTCC